GAGAGAGAGAGAGAAAGAAAGAAACAAAAGAGAAAGAAAGAATAAAAAGCAAAAGAGAAAAAGCTAATGCTCCTCCTCCTCCTCCTTGGCACTTTGCCACTCCTCGGGATCGTCACTCTGTCTGTCTCTCTATCTCTCTTCACTGTTTGTCTTCATCCTTCTTTGATTCATTCACCCCTCTCGACTCCTTCAAATACCAAGAAAAAGAAAAAGGCAAAAAAAAGTAAGAGAGAGAGAATGAAAGAGGCTGGCGAGGACTTCTTGGAAGCTGTACACACTTGCATGCGCTGAAGGGATGTGATTTATATTAATATCCAGTAAAATATTTTTATTCATTATAAATTTAATCTTATTTTCAATTACATCATATATATATATATAGATAAATATAATCGAAAGATGAAATATACTTTTGGAAGTTTAAACCTAAAGCCTATGTTTCAAGAGACTATTGTAACAATTACAATAAACACCTATCACTTTGAAGAAATATAGTTTATATCACTAAATAACATGAAGAAAAAGACATTACTGGCTAAAATTATCATTGAAAACAATTAACATTTCATATACAGCACAAAGAGAACGATTCAAAATCATTAGGCTGTTCTTTCAAACCTTGGATTCAATGAAGCTAATTAGGATTTGTGTATAAGATTACTTACTTGTCATGTTCAACTAGCTAGCATCATACTAGCCTATATATATATATAGCACAACAATTCCTCTCTCTAGTTCCTCACAATTATCAACATACTTACATGTAGCCATCGTGCCACAACATGTCCTAACATGACTTAAGCTTAGGCGTGATGTTCAAGTTCCAAAACCATGTGCATCAAAACTCCTATCTATGAAATAAGATGTTGAGCTCTCATGCTTTAATCTTGCATTGTTTCTAGTATCCCTAGAAGACTACACTACAATAACACATGTTCTGTCTCCCTATAGACGGGGAGGTGTGGAATGCTTAAGCATTGATGTGGTCTTTAGTTAAGTTGGTACAATTTTAGGACCTTAACTTTTATGCTTTAGCAAGAAAGGCAAAATTTTGGTCGAAAGGACAATAATTAATGAAATTTTTCAGCAATAACAATGTAGTTTATTTTTTAATTGGCCATATGCCAAGTGTTGGTCGATTAAAGAATTTTTGTTATAGTTCTAATCAAGGTCTGTCATACTGAAGCATACTACCTGTATCGGGCGGTACGTACCAGTCCGACAGGTTACCGGTACGCGGACTATCCGGCACTGTTACAATGCTACAGTACTATACTGTAACACTGCTACAATATGAAAAAAAAAATATAAAATTATTCGGTACATCAGGGTGTACCGCTCAGTACGCCCTGATGTATCGCCCGATATACCGATACCGTACCGTACCGAGCCCGGATCGAAACGTCGATACGGTACAATACGACGAACCTTGGTTCTAATCACATCCAAAACAAAAGCATCATGCATTAAACTATTTAGATTTTATTGTGGAAGAAATGATTTCCTCATTCCAAGCTACAAACTTAATTTTGTCATCTTACTAGGGCTACAAACTTAATTTTGTCATCTTACTAGGGAGAGGGAGAGCACACAAAGAAAGAGAAAACATATGTTCCTATAGATAGGTAGGATGTAGTTCACAATACTTGATTTGCATGAGAACAAGTAATATTAGGTCAAAAGTTGAAGAGGTCTGAGTTGTTCAAACTTGATGAGATACCAAATTCGATGTAATTGATTCCTCTTGTCGATTTCAATCTTTAGCTACGTGTCCTCTTGTTGATGTGAGGACACTAAGCCATGGCATGGATTATTCAATTGCTAGGCTTGAGTTCAACCTAAAGCTATCAACATCAAAAGCCAACCCTATCCGAAGCAACTATGGGTCATCTCAGTAGCAATCACCACAAATAGGAGGACAAGGACTGTTCTCAGTGAGCAAGTCTAATTTCTCTTTGCAAGTTGCTAATGGCCTCATGCATTTCATATTTGCATGGATGACTGATTAGCTTGCAAAGCAACATCATCAGAGTGCCCACCCATAAGACCCTAATCTTCCTCCACCATTGATTCAATGCTGGAGACCACTTCACCAACCATAGATAGGGTTGTCATAGAGAATGTTCTCATGAAACCTTGGTAAACTAATCCCTTAAAAAGAACCTTTTTCGTGTGAGAGGTAGGTGGCTATCCATAGTCCCCTTTCTCAAGAACCCTAGAGATAGAGATGCTCAATGTTTTTTTTATGTTGGCTAAAAGACAATCACTAGATATTATAGTGTAAATGATCACAAATCTCCAATATATTTATCGCATGATTAAAAAAAAATCTATTTATACTTCACTAAAGAAAAATATTTAATATTTAATAAAAAAAATTTAGATAAGTGTCGTATTAGGGTTCGGAATCATGTTTGGTATTAATTGTTTACCGAATAGTATTAAAATTTAATTGATGATTATTATCTAGTTTAATTTTTTATCATAATCATGAAATTTGATGTGACAAAGAAAATTTTAATATTATGATATGACTTGGATTGGATTCCACTTTGATACGACACGAACGAACGAGTAGGATGGGCTCAATCTACTTTGTGCGCATCTCAAAGCATGATTGACGTTGGTGAGGGAAGGAGACCATGGGAGGAAACTATGGGAAGGGGGATCCTCTTCTACCCATCCATCATCATCATCTATTGACTGAGGAACTCATGAAGGCTGAAAGGGAAAGAAGGTGAGGGAAAGGCCACACCACCACCGCATCTAAGTGGCACTCTCATTAGCTCACACACCTAAGAAGAAGAATAAACTTTGGGTGCTGTGAATGATCTCAAAATGATGGCTACTTTGATCGAGGCCCAATCAAACTCACCAAGTTTCTATTCTAAGCAAGTGTTCCATGGAATCCCTTTTTATCTACACCTTAGCATATAATAACAACATATTATGATATTCTAATTATTTAAGATCAATCAAATGGATAAAGCTCCCCAACAAAATAAATATATACTCCTTAATATATCCATGATATATATATATATATATATATATACAAAGTCATTGCCTTGAGATTCGTGAGAAAACAATTCAACTAAGGAATCCCACAATTTTATTATTATTATTATGGGATATTTCATGTCAGTTTTCCCAATCAAAATAAAAACCATTTTCCTATTTGCCATTTTTTATTTAGAAAAAAAAGGCTAAAACTACAGAGAAAATTACATTTTAATTAGATTTTTTGGGGGGTTCCCATCTGCTTAATTCTCCCCATTTGATTCCAAATGGTTTCTTTTTGGTTACACGACAATACCACGAGAAATGGCGCGATTGGTACCGGGATGCGTCGTCTCGTAAACGGGAAGCTCGTGCCTGTAACCACCTCCGCCTCCGCCTCCCGCACCCATAACCGTCAGATTCTCCAGCTCGAACAGATCCGAGCTCGCGTCGCTCATGTCGTCTTCCTCGTCCTCGAACCTTCTTAGGAGCTCCTCCACCCTTCTCCTCGCCTCATCCCTCGACTTCCCCTTCGCCGCCTCCGTCGCGAACGACCGCCGCCTGATCTCGGTCCCGGCCCCCGCGGCACGATCGCACGCGTAGACGCTCTTCTGGCCGCACGGCCGCAGGTCCTCGCCCATGATCACGTTCACCGGGTGGAACCTCACCGACCTCTTCACGCCCTCGTCGTCCGCCCCCGGCGCCCGTCGCGACGACGGCGTCTTGACGAGGCACGGCCGGGAGTGGGACGACGCCGTGGAGCAGGCCGGGTCGCCGACGTGGACGGCGGCGGCGACGGTTAAGGTTGAGGTTTTCGACTTCTTGGGGTTCTTCGCTGCGGCAGAGAAGAGGGCGTTGAGGAAGCGGCCGAGGCGGGCCCCCGGCGACGCCGGCGCCTTGGGTCGCCCCGGATCGCTGCGATTGCTGCGGATCGAGCCCGACTTCGTCTTCTCGCTGTGGTGGACGGCGGGCTGCGGGGGAGGAGGAGGAGGACGGAGGACGGAGGGGGACCGATCCGGCGCCATCACGCCGATCCGGATAGGCCTGAACCGGGCGCGGTGGCTGGATGCAGACTCGGGCTCGGAGGAGGAGGAGAAGCCGCCGTAGCTGGAGTTGTCGGAGGAGCTGGAGGTGGAGATGGGCGGGAGGCGGACGGGTGGGGCGACCGCCTTCCCGCTCACCGCCGCGGCAGAGCGGTAGGACGGGGCGGGCAGCCTGGGGGAGGCGAGGGCGGCGACTGACGGGTTAGGCTCACCGCAGCCGTCCGACTCATCCATGGAGCGGTAGATGGCGTCCAGCAGCGTGGAGGAGAAGGACGGATTCTCGTGGCCACGCCGCGGCCGCTCCTTCCCCCATCTCTCCATTTCCATAAACACGAAACAGAGTAATTCCAATCACTCTTCTCTCTTCTTTCGAGTCTTTGCTGCTACGTCTCCTCTGCAAAAGAAGAGAAGCGAAGAGCGGGGGAGAAATGGAAGTGGGGAGGAGGCGGTGACGGGCTCTCCTTTATTATGGTCACTCGATGCGCGTGCGAATGCTGACGTGGCTCTTTTCTTTCTCTTTCCTCTCCCTGCTCTTAAGGTGTGGGGCTCAGATGGTCTCCACCGTTCGATCCTCTTCGATGTGCGGCTGATCCGGGGAGCCCACACCCTCCAGGTACGCCCACCCGTTCTTTTTCTCGCGACTTATGTTACGATTGACTCCCCCGCAGGATGAGGAGGCCCCACGGCGAGAGTCGGGCCGCTTCACCAGTCACGAGGCAGGTAAATGGAACGGGTAGTTATTGGTTGGTGGCAAGAGTGCTGCTCCTGCTACTCTCGCTTCCTGATTTTGTCGTAGTGCGCTAGTTCTAGCCGCCGCTTAACTTACGACCATACCGGCGAGCTCCATTCGCGGGTCGTGACTTAAAGTGGCGTGTGGGTCGTGTGTCTCGCATGAGGCCGACGGAAGGCAGCGTGACGAGGTTCTAAATATGGCACCATATAATGTGGCGTTAAAACATGTGGACTGGACCCGTGACGCCAATATTCCTCACCTTAAGTGGCCCCCACTTGTCATATCGGTGGGAAAGCCCATTAAAATTAGCGGAGCTCGAGTCCACACGTTGCTTTGGACTCGGGGGCAACGAGTGGGTAGGACTCGGAGGGACAGGGGGCAACGGATGGTGGGGTCAGGGGACAGTGCTTGGTAAGTAATCTATTGGTGGTATGCTTGTGGGACCGCCGTCGCAGACGGACGGGCGCACGGGGATTCCAATCTTGGAGTCGGGGAAGAGCTTTTCTTTATGGACATCAAGCTGTCCCCTCCCAAAGAGGGAAACCATTCTCATGCCCTTCCAATTCTTTGGATTAATCCGTGCATTTATTTTCTCTCTGTCTCCTTCCAAAAACGAAAAGAAAAAGAAAACTTTGTCACCTTAATTGTATGACACAACAGGATAGTCAGCAAAGTAGTGTTCTTTTTATGACTTGGGATGATCCTCACAAATGTCAAGAAATATCTTAAATAGGAGTGTTCTGCTTATGATTTATGGAATATGACACAATGGATTTAATCTTACAATATAGGATGCCTCTTTCTAAACATTGGTGGCATATATAGTAGAAAAGCAAATCGTGGGTATAAAGGTGTTTCTAAGAAAATCTACAGATATTATGATTAGATAAGCTGAGTGAATTAGGGTTCATTTTTCAAGAAAAATAGAGAAAGACCTTGGAATAGTATTAAAAATAATTAAAATGGTTTTGGTTTAATTACAGGATGATGAAAGCTTATTATTTGGTAGAGATATTATTTGTGAATTAAGGTGTTGCTATTGTTACATATTTTAACAGGCATTGTATCACTTCTCAAGAGAGAGAGAGAGAGAGAGAGAGAGAGAGCAGGTACCATCTAATGCCTCTTAAATTAGTCAACAACTCCTAGATGATTAGATCGACAACAAGTTTCTCTAATCTACAAACTTGATGCCAGACAAAACCCTAATTATGGGGCTATGTAGACTTGTAATATGAAAAAGCACCATAACATTGAAAACTGGACATCCTAAGAGTTGACTTAATGTCTGCAGACTTTCTCCACTTGCTGCTCCTAATATTAAAGATTATGTCTTAGTTTATGTGCTGCATGCCTAGTATTACAATTAATCTAGCAATACTTGCATTGTCCATGACCAATTGGCTGCTTGTAGCAGCTAATTAAAGCATGTGTTGTTGGGTTATATAATTGCAGATTTAATAGGAAGCTTGGGATGTGGATGTGACTGCTAGTTTAAAGGGGTGCAAAAGGGTGAGTAGGCCTTAACAAAAAAATCACAACATACATTTTAGTAGGTGAAGCTCTAATCATTTGTCCTGATAGCACCTGTTGTAGGCTTTTAGGCAGTAGGGTGCTCCCTCACTCCAAGCTGAAGTCTAGGCAACATGCTTGCTTCATTTAATTATTTTATATTAAAAGTGCATAGGATGTGGATGTGTGTAGGACTGTTCATTATTCCGTCTAATTCTTTGTTTTTTCTTAAAAAGTTTAGTTTTATAATTTATATGATTTAATTTGATTGCTTCTTTCAAAAATCAAGTCAAAATAATAAGTTAATAGTTATATACAACTTTATATTCTTTTATGAAGTTACTTTCAGTACTCAAAATTTTAGTTACATTCACTCGCTGCTTTGTCATACAGGCAAAATTAAAAATAAAAAAATCATATTAGTAAATAATAATAATTATTATTATTATTATTATAATTATTATTATTATGATAGTTTTGATCAGTAATACTGAGTAACTGGAAAGGTTTGGACTGAGTTTACTTTCATATATGGTGGAGTATATATATCACTATAGTGGCTTTTCGCCACTTTGAGTTAAAGCAGTGTGTCATGGGGATCAGAGAGAAAGAAGCATGCAATTCACATCTATTCACATGAATAGAAAGAAGAGCAGCAGTAACAAAGAAGATAGATTGATAGAGAGAGAGAGAGAGGGGGGCAGTCAAGGTGGAGCGATCCCTAGGAAGGAGGTAGGGCTTAACGGGTTCGGGTCGGATCTGACCCGGGTCCGGTTCAATTTGGGGTGGAACCCAGTGCCACATAGCCGGCGAGGAATCTCGGGTTCGGATCTGGTCTCCAATTCCAAATCCAATTCCTCCTGACAAAGTCTGACACGCGTGAGGCCGACCCACGTGTGGCCGCTTCTATCTTTTGCTTTGGTGAGTTCCAAGCCCTCATGGGTGGGTTAAACCGATGGAGATCTGCCGAGCTACTTTGGCGGATCCTCTTTTAGCCTTTTATCGAGGTTGTCCATCTATTCTTTCCTTGTTCACCATAAGTCACTGTCTTCATGTGGCAGGGTGGGCTTTTCCCTGTGGTTTCTTTCTTTCTTTCTTTCATCTCTTACTATTCACTGCTGTGAAGTAGTTTTTGGATACTTTCAAATATTTATATATTTTTGGGCTAATTACTGATCATCTGTCCATATTATCATGGCATTACCATTTTCAAACTTATATATACATATATAAGATACAATATTCGAGAAAAAAATAACTTTTTTTTTTTCTGGTTCATTATGAGGTATGATTATCTCATCATAATGTGATCGATACATCAACACTACTACATGATTGACACTTCATGATAAATTGAATTTTATCATCTAAATGTTACAATCTTATTCACAACTACAACATAAGATTGTTAGATAACACTCCACACACCGTAGAAGACATGTAATCATTCACGATATTAAATTACGATCACAAGTGCAACAATCATAAATCTCATCTCAGAGGGAGAAAGAAGGTCGAGGATTTGTGCCAGAGCAATAAATTGGTGGCGCAAAGGATCCGACATGATCGCACCACCGAAGCTCCTTGAACCGAAAGGTTAAATCATGTCGTTGCAATGTCTTGATTTAATCGTCGATGGGTGGGCGGCGTGGGAAACTTGATGTGACGATGCGTGACACAAGTCACTGAGAATCCTTCTAAATATGATTATATAATATACCATATCCAGTTTCCAAATAAGGTCAGATGATTTAAATTTATCCTTCTCATCTTCTTCTTGGTGGGTGTTTGGGAAGAAGTCACATGAGCTGTGGGCAAAAGACGGGGAGGTGATGAAGGGATGTGAAAGGTTTTCTGTTTTTTACTCTGGTTGGTCGAACATGGAAGAATGTCGACCACCACGAGGGCCATGTTGGAAATCTTGTGTCATCCCACCCTCCATCCACTGCTGCCTGCAAGGCAGGCAAGACGATCACGGTCTATAGCAGCTGTCGCCCCGCTCCCCCACCCCACCACTTCATGGCTGGTCCGAGGAACATGATGGATTGCCCACAGCTCTTGCGACTTCCCAAACACCACCTATAACTCAAATGTATATTCCTCTTTAGATCGTTCCATCCAATATCATACTATCTGTGTTGATGAACAGATGTGCCGTGGTTGGTGAGGTGAGTCAGCACGACCTGGTCCACGGGTCAATATCGAGAGTCTTCTGTCAACTGGGTTGTATGCCGAGGTCAACCGGACCCTCGCGACGGAATATTGATCAACGTTCCTTGTGGCCGATCCGAGCGCCGTGTATGCCGAGCTACGTCTCTTCTTCTCCGGGGTGATTGACAGCTTGCCTTTGCGAGGTGGTCGAGTTTTCCTGTAAAAATGACTCCCGTCGGGATCACCCGACGAGACCCCTCCGACGAGCAAATCAATGGAGTGATCAATTGATCTTTTTTTCCCTCCTGCCAGATGCTGACTAAAGGTCTTTATAGTATTACACATGGGTCGATCATACGCGAATTGGCATGATAGACATATCAAACAATGCCTTGGTACAGATTCTCACTTGACGTGTCTTGAGTCAAAATATACTATATCACTATCAATTGTACTTCTTTTACTTCAATCTAATATTTTTGTACTTTAGGGTGTTTACATCAACACACCATTACCCCTGATCCCTATTTCAGAATAATATATACATATATATATATGTATATATATTTCTCTTAAACACCCTCGTAATTAGTCATTTATTAAACTAAAAGGAACAATCTTTTTCTCTCTACTTTTTCGTCATAATCCTCCTGAGATCTTTGCGTGTTGTTGCCAACCTATTTTGAAACATCTATACATCCACTGAAGGGAGGGGCGGTGGTTGCGGCAGTACCTGGTGAGTGTCCTGCTTCAGATTCCACCAGCAACAGAGCAGACAAGCTACTACTTGAAGCTGTGCGGCATATGCAGTAGTGCACCAGCACCCACCATATCTACAGCTCCTGCCTGCTAGGGTTGAAAGCACCACAGTCTGCATCTGACATTGCCGCATTAATCCCTCTCATGCACATAAAGCCATGTACTCTCTCGCTCTCATCTGTAGCAGCTTGTCAGGGACCATACCTACAGAGATTCAAGCATTTTTCAACATTTCAGTAAAGCTATCAGAATCCACTAAACTTTGCATAAGAACTTCTCGCATGCAATATTTA